GCTGGCTGAATGCTGTTTACTGGGTGAAAGGTACCCTGGGAGTTTTGATGGCTCCAAGCAGGGCTGGGGTCAGGGGCAGGAAGTTCTTGGAAAGCTGCTGGTTTGGATACTGCTATCCCCTCAAGCCTGGTGGTTGGAAGGGCAGGAGAGCAAGCTGCTCATGGGATGGCCCACCATGGAACCAGCCTGGGGAGCAGTAATGCCATGGGGCCCAAGTGAGGAGCTCCAGTACTGAAGACACCCAGGCTTAACCCAGTTACCTCACACTTGACCTTCTCAGAGCAAGACCTGGACCCCACAGGTCGTGTTCACCCCAGCTTAACTCCCTGTTCCAGGCTGAGTTTACCCCATCGACAGCCCTGATGCCACCATTTCCCTAAGGCTGTTGCTTGCTCAGATTTTTGTCAACTTGCTCTGCTGGATGCAGCCAAGATACTTTTTACAATTTGTGATGCCTTACCAATTTGATCTCAGTCCTGTATTTAAAGTTTTCTAACATTGCCTTACACCGTGTTTCTCTTTTTGGGGGTTTGGGGGGGGATGTTTAATGCTGTGGTCCTGCTCATTTGCATGGTAGTGCCATGAGGGTAGTTGGGCTCCTCCTGGACTTCCCCCAGGTCTGTTGGAGAGAACAGGTAGACAGGCTTAGAACCCCTGGAGGGGAGCTGGCAGCTCACCTCACCCTTGGCTGCAGTCCTGGAGGTCCTTTCTGGCATCAGCTGGGTAGGCAGGACTGTGGCCTCTGAGTCATCTTTGCTCAATCCTGCCTCTTCCCCTTGTCTCACTGGCTCTGCAGTCTGAATCTACATTCTCAACACCCAGCCCGTGTTCCGCAGCCTTACGGCCTGCCTACTCCTCCCTTTGTGAGTTCCAGCAGTGGCTCAGGCCATGACATTTCCTTACCAACCAGTCCCTTGACAAGCAGAGCTGCCTCTGTACACCCACCTGCTCCGTTACTTGCAGTGGCAGCTCCATGATATTCCAATTTGTGGAATAGGGCGCAGACTCTAGGAGGCAGGTGCATGCCTCTCGGCAGTGGCCCCCATCCCAAGGGTGCCCTGGGCCCATCCACCAGCTTTCTGTGGGCTATGCCTGGGATGGGAGAAAAAAAAATCTACACATTGGTTTGGCAAAAACGGTTTCTGAAAATGCTTTAGCTTTATGTGGGAATAGGTATAAACCTCATTTTTATGCTGTATTTTATATCTTAGTTGTGTTTGAAAATGTTTTGATCTTTGGAAACATCAAAATAAATAATGGCATTTGTGGTATATAGTGTGATCCTATGTGGTGACCAGCCAGGGTGGGGGCCTGGCCAAGCTCAAGGTGCTCCAGTGAGCTACATCAGCAAGGGTCACTGAAGACCACAGAAAAGCCATGCAGAGAGAGAAGTCAAGTCCCTGCTGCTGCCATCTTCTGAACAGAACCTCCAGGCCCACTCTAGGCAACAGGCAATGTCAGGACATCAGTGGTCAGTTCCAAGGACACCCAGAGGCTTTCTCTGTACACTTCATTTCCCCAGCTGCTTAAAGGAACTGAAGTTCTTGGGCTTGTGGTGATGATGGCTCTTGAACTTCTTGGTCAACGAGGTGAACTGCTTCTGTGAAAGCAGAAAATAGTGACTAGGGCCTTTGCAAGACCACAGGGAAGGTGCTGTGTGTCTAAGGCTGAAGAGCAGTCTGCTTTCTCGACAAGGTTCCCCTTCTCTGCTGGGTCAGTGTGGGGCCAGGGAGAGGGCAGCACAGTTCACTAGACCGTCCACCCTGCTTCTCTGACAGAATCCTCATTCCTGCCTCAGAGAAGTGGTGCCTGGCAGCTAAGTTCCCTGACTCCTGTGTGTAGGGCACCCAGCTCAGAGCTGAGAAGCCATTGGTGAGGACCTGCTCCTAGACACCTGAAGTGGCCTTGGCTTCCATATTTATAGGCTGTTCCCTGACAGTGCACTTGAAGAATTTGCTAAAACCATGCGGAGCACTAGCTGTCCAGCCTCACTCAGCCTGGGCAGTGTAGCCCTCCTGACCTCAGCACTTGGAGGCACAGCACTCACCTTCTTGAGTTTACGACCCCTCTTGTGGCCCACTCTGGCCTCTCTCCTTTCCCCAGTGCCCTTCTCTTTGGACTGCTTTGGCGTCTCTTCCTCCTGGTCTGTCAGAAAGTCTTCAGGAGTGGTGTTCTCAGGCTTGCCCAGATCTTTTTTTGTGAATAGCTCAGCTGGAAGGAACAAACAGCCTGGCTGAGCTACGCCACAGGTAAAAGCACCACTCTCCTGGGAAACGGCTAACAGAGCAGGACCACAAGAAACCTAGCAAGAGACAAACATGAGGGCAGGAACCAGGTTGTACCTACTTACGTGGGTATAGATCTGTCATGCTGTCATCACTCAAGGATCCTCCCTCGTCACTGGAAGCTGGCTCCCAGAAAGCTGTTCTCTGGTTAGGTAGCCCATCTCCGTCCATGTGGTCCTCCCTCTTCCTCTTCTTGTGCAGGAGGCAGGCAGGGACATACTCCACACCTTGTTTCTGACACTCCTCATCTAAGAGACCAGCAAACTTACACTGGTGCCCTCTTGGTGCAGCTAAGCTATGGGCTGTACCGTGGTAGGGCTCTATTCCTTTATCCTACTGGACATGCATGGACAACCTGGAGACTATGGATGGAGCTCAGGGGAAGCTCCCTGTCTCAGCTCTCCTGAGCTTGCAGCTGGAATGAGACTTAAGAGAAGGAAGGCCTTACTAGGGTCACCACTGCTGTCCTCGGGTATTAAGGGGTCTGAGCTTCTTAGACTTCCCACGTGGTTCAGCACCATCTCCTTGGGCGGGCGACACCAGCTCTAGCCATCACTGCTCTTGGGGTGCCAGTCTAACTGGGACCTGGCATCTGAGGCCTTTTCCCCACTTCATCTCTGCCATCTGCTCCCAGGACCACTGTGGCCTCCTTAATGAGTACCAGCACGAAGTCTCTCAGTGTCCTGAGCAGGCCACTCAGCCGGTGACTTCCAGCCCATCACCCTGCAGTGGTCTCACTGCTTTCTGGCTCCATCTTAGCTCTGATGCATCTTTATAATTCTCTCTCATGGGGATCCCTGCCCAGTACCTCCCTGTCACAACCCAGGAGATGACAAAGCTAACAAGGGCACATCCAAGCCTTAGCTGCCACGTGCCCGTGCAGCCCAGGTACCAACTCCAGGACCTCCAAGATGTGTGGGAGGAACTGGTTGTGCTGTATAGGATACAGCCTGCACATTCCTTACCTTCCCATTCTCTGAAATCTGCCTGTGGGGCTGGACAGAGGTAGTGCAATCCTTGAAGCCTCCCACTCATCCCCAGTCTCTGCACCATTCCCCCGCCCCCCAAGTCCTCCTTGCTAAGGCCTGGCTCTGCCTAACTCCTTCACCCCAGTAGCCTCCAAGTTACCTAATCTCAGTCACTTTCTTACCCTCATCATTTCGTGGTGACATGGGAGACCTTCCTTTACCTCCCTTGTCCTTAAGCTGGCCTCAACTCTCCTGGCCTGGCACTACCCTCCCTAACCTACCTGGAAGTTAAATTACCACAGGAGTCCCTACTCTAAACCACTTGGGATGCCTTCCCACCCATCGACACCTGAGGTCTGAGTCCCCTCATCCTCTGCTTCGTAGAGGGCTGTTGGCACCAATCCAGATCCTGGAAACAGTCCCCAAGGCTCTCCTGCAGTATCAGATGACTATGGACCTGTCCTGGAGTTCTGGCACTACAGCCTCAGCCTGAGAGCCACCTGGAGGTGGCTGTGCAACAGCAGGCCTCCACGCCGTTCACCGTAACTCCTCGGCCCACTTCTGGCTTTATGGTGGCAAGGTCAGGAGCCACCAGCCCTCTCCTCCCTGTGCAAGACCAACCAGCAATGGGCAACGAAGGATGATCAAGACATCTTTCTGGCTTTTGGGGGCAGGGAACGTGCATCCTAAAACCTGAACCTCCCGTGGTGACTTACATTGATGAAGTGCTCTCTGATACCTCCGGCCCTGGGTATGCCTCAGCACATGCTCTGGGGACTTGTTGATGTGCCTCAGGGTGAGTTTGCAGAACAGTTGGTACCTACAAGGCAAACAGACGGGTATGACGGACAGTGCCCACCAAGGACCAGACTTGTGGGCTCCACCGTGACTGGAAGCTGCCAACACCTGAAGTTTTGCTGGGGATGCTCTGCATCTGCTCTCAGCCACACAGGCATACTTTCAAAAACAGCTTCCCAAACAATTTCACTTAGCATCTGGGATTAAGGACCCAGATTGTTACCCAAAAAAAAAAGAAACCGGAGTTTCACACTGCTCCAGGGTGCGTGTACGGGGAAACTGCTCAGGGAGTTCCATGTGAGGATATATCAACCACACAGTCATGGGGTCCCCAAACGGTGAATGTGGTACTGTCCAGCCTGGCCTCGGGTGACGTGTCAGTGGAAGGTCATTATATGCTCGGAATAGGGGGCACAGGCTCTGCACCCAGGCGCTGGCCGGCCATCTACGTACGGATTCTTTGTGCTGGGCACGATGTGTGGCTCGAACGCTGTGTAATCGAATTCCGAGGAGGCTCTGGACAGTCGCTGGTACTTCTTGCCGCGAGTGTAGACCTGAAGCTCCGGCAGACGACAGGGTAGCTCATGGCCAGTTAGGGAGCAGCGCACCTGTGGGTGGGCCGCCTGTCAGCAGGTGGTTTTCGCCAGCCCCGCCCTTCTCCTACACTGTCCTCCGGGGTCCCACTGCTCTCCGGGCACAGTACTCCCGGGTCCCACCTCCCCGGCACGGTCCCCCGGCTCCTTCCGGGTCCCGTTCCTTCCTGGCCCTATCCTCCCCGGCACGGTTCTCCCCGGACCTTGTGAGTGTTGGGCAGCAGCTTCAGGCTGGGGTGCTGGCGCAGAAAAGCCCGCACATCAGCGGGTAGTTCGTCCATGATCTGAGTTGTCCGTCTGAGGCTGTTGCGACCACGTGGGGCAGAGCGCCGATCCGGAAGCAGATTTCTCAATCCCGGAAGTGGTCAAAGATGGCCGCCGTGATGGCTTTCTCTGTGCTGCGGCAGCGGATGATGCGGTGGCCCCAATGGTCCTGCGCGGGGCTGGTAAGCGCGGGACCGGGGAGGACCCTGCCCAAGAAGAGGGGCCGGGAGGATCGAGCCCAGAGTGGAATGGGGCTGAGGAGGACCCTGTCTCAGGGGGCTTTGCCCGGGGTGGAGCAGGGCCAGGGTGGACCCAGCCTAGGAGGACCTAGCCTGGGGTGGTGCGGGGTCGGGAAGGCCCCTGTCCCGGACCTAGCCGAGGTTGAGCGGGACTGGGTTGGACAGTGCCAGGTGCTTGCGCTTGGCGGCCTTGAGGCTCCCGAGCTTAGCCCCGCGGCTATTCGGTCCCCGCAGGCCCCGCTCCGCGTTGCCAGAAGGAGCGTCCTCGGGCTTTCTTTCCGCTCAGGTGAGAAGGGCTCAGACCTGGTTGCGGTTGGGACACCTGCCTTCATTCAGCCCGCAGTGGTCTGCTAGGTGTATTGTACGGGGAGTGGACTGAGCACGGGCTATTAATTGCCCCTTTCCCTACATCCTCTGTGGGCATAACCTAAGTCTTGTGGGGAATTGGCCACCCAGTTCTGTTTGTTCTAGGGCTTCTGACCCCATGCCGGTATTGTAAAACTCCCTCCAGGGACTGTCTGGAGGCCAAACAGGTGTAGCAGTTCTACTGCTGAAGCAGCCACCGCTAAAGCAGAGGACGACTCGTTTCTCCAGTGGTTCCTGCTTCTTATCCCTGCTACTGCTTTTGGCCTGGGGACCTGGCAGGTGAAGACAGGGGTCTAATTTATTAGATGTCTCTGAGCCTTGGACCCCACTGCTGTTTGCTTAGCCCACGTTGTTTCTGTAGGTCCAGCGTCGGAAATGGAAGCTCAAACTAATTGCAGAATTAGAGTCTCGAGTCATGGCTGAACCCATCCCTCTGCCTGCGGAGTGAGTGCGGCTGCCCACCCAGTCCATTCCACTTACAGCAGCAGCAGTTGGGGCCCTGGCTTGTTTGGTGTCTTAGTAATTTCTGTCCTTAGGCAGGAGCCCTCAAAATTTCCCACTAGACTGGCTGCTGATTGCCTTTATGAAGCTGCCAAAGGGCATGGAACGTAAATAGGAAAGATGTATTTTCCCATGCCAGATTTCCCTTTTCTGGTCCTGAAGTACTGATAGTTCCTTGTAGCATTGGTGGGTGATAATGCAGGTCTCAACAAGGTGACAATTTTTAAAAGTGTCCTCTAATTTTTTTGTACTGCTCTCTTGAATTTGCTACAAGGGTTAATTCAGGATAAGTAATAGATGGAGTTTGGACTGTTTTGTTAATTTATGTAAAGTAGCCATACAGGAACCCATGCTTCCCTTGAAAAGCTGGGTTTGGTAGCACAGATCCACTCTTGTGGCATCGAAGGCTGATGCTGAGATCACCCCTCTGGAGGACACAACCTGTAATCTGATGAGCCTCACTGAGCCTTTTTTACCCTTCCTGCCTGGTGGGCTTGGTAGCTTGCAACCTGCTTAGAGGATTCTGACAAGCCTTGGTTACCTACAGCCCCCCCCCCCCCTTCTCCTTGTAGCCCAATAGAACTGAAAAATCTGGAGTACAGGCCAGTGAAGGTCAGGGGGCACTTTGATCACTCCAAAGAACTGTACATGATGCCTCGGACCATGGTGGACCCTGCCCGAGAGGCCCGTGATGCTGGCCGAATCTCCTCCTCAGTGGAAAGTGGGGCCTATGTAGTTACTCCTTTCCACTGCTCGGACTTGGGGTGAGTAGGCCATGCCTGGGCCTGGCAGTTTCTCTCACTGTGCTCAACCAACCTTTAGACCCTTGGGGATCCACTGGACCCAACTGATACTGCATGATAGTTTTCAAGATCTCTAATTCTGACATTAAACAGTTTTCTTAGCCAGTTCATTGATAGGGTTTGAGTCACTGAGGCTTAGCAGTGTTGGACTGGATACACAGAACAAATATCTGTTAAACTGTCCTGTAGATGTTGCAGTGACCACTAGTGATGATCTGTACTGGAATCCTTCCTCACCCCAAGGGACACTTTTATTATTGCTCCAGAGTCACCATCCTGGTTAACAGAGGGTTTGTCCCCAAGAAGAAAGTGAATCCTGAGACCAGACAGAAAGGCCAGGTAAGATATGGTTCTTCAGTTGGGAAGATTAGTTAAGTCATCATTCTCCACAAGGGACTCCTGTAAAAAGCAATCTCACCTTCCTTTGTAGGTTCTTGGAGAAGTAGACCTAGTTGGCATAGTGAGGCTGACAGAAACCAGGAAGCCCTTTGTCCCTGAGAACAGTCCAGAACAGAATCACTGGCATTATCGGGATCTAGAGGCTATGGCCAAGATAACTGGCGCAGACCCCATTTTCATCGATGCAGATTTCCGTATGTTGTGGCACCTGCCCTGGGAGAATAAGCCCTGTTGGCTCCTAACTGTCCCACCTCCCCCGCCCTTTCCCTGGCAAGTTTTCATCCTGCAGTTTGGTATGGGGGCAGAAGGAAACCTGATAGGTTCTGACAAAAGTGACTTGGAACTTGTCACACAAAAATGGAAATGCTGAGGACCACCACCAGAGGTGGAGATTAACTCCTCCTGTCTCTACAGAGAGTACAACCCCTGGAGGACCCATTGGAGGGCAAACAAGAGTCACTCTTCGAAATGAGCACATGCAGTACATCATCACCTGGTTAGTCCTGCTGTCCCCTGTTACAATCTCCCCCACCCATTCACTGTATGGGCTGACAACTAAATTTCTTTCAACCACAGGTATGGACTGTGTGCAGCGACATCATACTTGTGGTTTCAAAAATTTGTGAGGCGGACACCAGGTGTGTGAAGTTAATGAACCTGTTCCTAACCAAGAGATCTACACATAAAATAAAGATTGTTATTTTTAAAACCCTGGCTCAGTCTCAAGACATTTTATAGGGGGACACTACCAATTTAAGCACACTAACCCAAATAACCAAAGACCATTAGATGGAAGATAAGTTTGTAATTATATTTATGTACAGAAAACTTAGCAGTGTACATTTAACCCAATTTAGTGGCGAGTTCTTTGGCCTTTGCCTTTTCCAGCTTGGCAATCCGAGCCACAGATTTAGGACCCAGGACGTTGCCTCCCCAGTGGCGGCGGATCTGAAATGACAGAAATAGCAGTCACTTTGGCCTGACACCCTACCCTCTAAATGCATGCATCAGTTAACATCCTATATTCAATGGTTCCAAGCGGGTACTTGAATCCAACTGCTTCAAGCACTAACCAGCCCCACGTTCTGTATAGAGCTGCTTACCTCATCATATCTGTCATTGTAATTGGTCCTAATAGCTTCCACCAGCTTAGCCAGAGCACCCTTGTCTTCCCTGGCAAGGAAAGGGGAAAGGCCTTGTTACTCTTTGGGAAGCAGGAGTGATTTTTCCTATAAGCTTTTGTTTTTGCCTCAGACACAGTATGACCACACAGCTGATTCAGGTGAAGAAATTCTTAGCCATCATTGGCAAATGGTTCCCAAACCTGGGAGAGTAAGGGAAGCTTAGGGATAAGCATGAATACTCACGAGTTAACCTGTGTGAAGGCAACAGTGGTGCATGTCTTCCTGTGGACCAGCCGCCCCAGCCTGGCCTTTCCCTTGATGATGCAGTAGGGGACCCCCATCTTTCGGCACAGGGCAGGCAGGAAGACCACCAGCTAGAAGCAAGCACAAGCTGTAGGCATTTGGCGCACAAGGAGCAGGACCTACACTGCTTCTTTGTGGCAAATGCTCAGGGTTAAAAAGCTCATGTAAGTGCACATCAAAGCTACTTCAGTCAAAGATTCACATCATTGCAAGAGCCACACAAACTGATCCCTTTTCCTCAAACTCAGCAAAACCGACTCCACCCTTCCAGAGGCAACACAGGACCCTGGTTCTGCACTTAATGCTAAAAACCGCCAGACCTACCTCAATGGGGTCTACATCGTGGGCAATGACCACCAGCTGAGCCTTCTTGTTCTCCACCAAGGTGGTGACTGTATTGACCCCTGGAACACACAACCACTTTGCCTGAGTGCTTGGGCTGCTACAGTCACATAAAAAGCAGTTCACCAAGCTGTGACTCAGGGTTAAAAAGCTTGATTTCACTCTTCACAGTGATTTCAGGTGAAGAAATTCAGACATCATTGCACAGCCTGCCCTACCACCCTTCCTTTCCCAGGGGTCACCTACCTGCTCGGAGGACCGGTGGTCTCTTAGTCGGGACGTCCCCTTTGCCAGCAGCTTTCTTCTCAGCTCGGGCCAGCAGCCTTTGCTTCTTCTCCTGCTTTGTCTCTGGCCTGTACTTGTGAGCAAGCTTAAGCAGCTGGGTAGCTGGGAAAATAATTCTTCAGTTAGACTCTAGGCTTGAATTTTTGTAAGATTTGCTACGTAGCTTCTTGAGTACTGTGGTTACTTGGCAAGCAATCTCACGCTCAGGCTGAATGCTAACTGTTGTTACTTAAAAGGCACAGGCCTATGTGGAGGGTCTCTGAACCCTTGTACAGCTGTGGCATAAACTCACACTCAAACATTTTTTTGGTTTGTCGAGACAAGAGTTTCTCTGTGTAGTTTTTGGTGCCTGTCCTGGAACTCACTCTGTAGACCAGGTTGGCCTTGAACTCAGAGATCCGCCTGCCTCTGCCTCCTGAGTGATGGGATTAAAGGTATGCACCACCACCGCCGCCAGGCGAAACAAATTTTTAAAAATCTAAAAACAAAAACCATCCTTGTAGTACATGCCTTTAATCCCAGCACTTGGGAAGCAGGATCTCGAGTTGAAAGCCTGCCTGGGTCTATGTAAGGAGCCCAGAACAACACAGAGACCATCTCCACAAACCCACCCTTGTGTGGTATGCGCAGGTAAGAATGCCAGGGGTCAACGTTGGGCATCTTCCTCATACGCCTCCCCACCTTACTGATACGTTCAGTGTGCTGGCTGTTTCAGGTAGTGACTAGGGACCCCTTTCAATCCCTCCTCTGCCCCGTATATGGATGCTGAGAATCCTCAGCTCACACTTGCTCAGTACCCCTTTTCCTTCTGAACCACCTCCCTGCACCACCATTGCTTTAACGTGATGACACTAAAAAGGCCAAACTCAGGCCCAATGTCATGCCCTGGAAACACGAAACTGGGCCCCTGACACACAACCTCACCTGTTTGCCGGTCCAGGGCCTGTGTGAACTGGTTAATGGCAGGAGGTACCTTGAGCCGCTTATAGAGGATGGCTCTTTGCCGCTGCAGCCTAATGTAGCGGGGCCATTTGACGAAGCGTGTGAGATCTCTTTTGGGCTGGATGTCCTGCCCTGGGAAATGAAGAGCGACACTACGAGTGAGGAGTCACCGTGTGCCAGCCGGCATCTGGGCACTTAGGAGGGTGTTGGTGCATCAGCGATCTTGGTGGTTCAAATGTCATCACCATCTTTCTGATAGCAAATATTCTTTTACATCATCTGCACACAACACAAGCCCCTCTAACAGCACGCCACGGCCTGCCAGCAGGCACAGCAGCCCGGCTCTCCGGAGGGAGACATCCCCGCCCCAGCCCCCCGGAACCACCCACCGCCTCGCCGTCGGGAACGCACTTCCACCCCACTTACCAATGCCGAAGTTCTTAGGCCTTTTCTCAAACAAAGGGTTCACCACCTTTTTGGCCTCCTGCTTCTTCACGACGGCGGGGGCCGGGGCCACCTTCTTCCCCTTGGCCTTCTTTCCCTTGGGCTGGACAGAAGAGAGAAACCCCGTGAGGCTGCTGCGTCTTCCGCCGTCGCCGTCCCATCGGACGGCAGGGTCGCGCCCGGCGCGCCGCTCGCCGCCGCTCCGTCTCGGCGCAGGGCCCCGAAGCGCCCAGGGAGTCCGCAGAGCCCGCGAGGCGGCGGCGGGCGGCGGATGGAGGTGGATGACGCCAGGGACCGCGATCACTCACCATCTTGCTCGGCTGGAGGAGAGAGAAAGGAAAGGGAATTGTGGGTAATATGTAAGCAGTCGCGGAGATCGCGAGATCCGGCGCCTGCGCGGGATTTCGGGTTTAAAGCGACGGACTCCCTGGGCACTCGGTCGGCGGGGGCGGGGCCTGACTCCGTGCGGAGTCGCGGCTGCGCGTTCGCTGAGGGCGGCGGGGCCGGGCCAGGTACCGCGGGTCCGGAGTGGCGGCGGGCGGTAGTAGGGAGCAAAAACCGCGCGCCGGAGTGGGTGCTGTGCGCCTGCGTGGGCTGCGGGCCTGTGTTCGCGGAGGGAGCTGATGTAGTGAAAGCCCTCCCTACCACCCCCCAGGTCCGACCAGACTGCGGCTCTCACCCGGGGTCTGTCATGGCCCAGCAGAGAGCCCTGCCCCAGAGCAAGGAGACGCTCCTGCAGTCTTACAACAAGCGACTCAAAGACGACATCAAGTCCATCATGGACAACTTCACCGAGATCATCAAGACCGCCAAGGTGCGTGGACGCTGTTCCGAGGCCATACGAGAAGGCAGGAACTGGTTTTCCCTGGGGTCTGGGTACATGTCTAGATTCTGCTGCAGGGGTGGGGATGCAAAGGGAATGTGATCAAGTCTGGTGCGGGTGGGAGCGACGAGGTGTCAGAAGTAAAGGTCAGCAGGTAAATGGAAAAGCCAAATAATGACAATCGTGGGTAGAGCAGAGGACTCTGGACGAGACTGCCAGGGCTTTACTTTAGTTACTGGGCAGTGGCCACCTGGACTGAGTGTCCCCCATGCCGTAGATCGTTGTGATGACCGATGAGTTTGTGGTTTAATACAGTTCCTCGTGTTGTGGTGAACTCCAACCATACATTAATTTTCATTGCTACTTCATAACTAATTTTGCAACTGTTTATGAATCGCCATGTTGAGAACTGCTGCTCTATTTATTTCTGAGATGCCTCAAGACCGCTGAGATCTGTCAGTCTCTAGCTGGTCCATCTGTAAGCTGAGAACAGCAGTTCAGGCTTTTCTGAGGAAGCCCTCCTTAGTTAGCTGCTCAATACGGTGCCTGCCCAGAAGGGGTCACTTGAAAAGGCACTTTCTGGCTGGGGATGTTGAGATTGTGAAGCGCTTGCCTAGCAGTACAAAGCCCTGTGTTTGGTCCCTAGCACTGAATAAACTAGATGTTGGCACAGCTCTTTAATGTTAGGATTTAGGAAGTGGGTCAGAAGTTCAGGGCAGCCTGGGTTACATGAGACCCTGCCTTAAGGCCGGGCAGTGGTGGCGTACGCCTTTAATCCCAGCACTCGGGAGGCAGAGGCAGGTGGATCTTTGTGAGCTGGAGGCCAGCCTGGGCTACAGAGTGAGTTCCAGGAAAGGCACAAAGCTACACAGAGAAACCCTGTCTCGGAAAACCAAAAAAACAAAACAAAACAAACAAAAAACTAAACAACAACAACAAAAAACGAAGATAAAAAAATCTTGTCTTATGCCGGGCGGTGGTGGTGCACACCTTTAATCCCAGCACTCAGAGCCAGGTGGATCTCTGAGTTCGAGGCCAGCCTGGTCATAGAGTGAGTTCCAGGACAGGCACCAAAACTACACAGAGAAACCCTGTCTGAAAACAAAAAAACAAAAACTTGTTCTTTATTGAGCATCTTATTTCGCGTAAACTTTCTCAAAAAGACTTGGCAGTGTCCTTTTGATGTGATGAAGTCACCTATTGTCACCCACAGAACAAGAGGGGTTGGAGTGGACATTCCAGCTGTCTAGATAGGAGGTAGAGTGCTGGGTATGCAGGAAGGCCTGATAAGCAGGCAGGCTGTGGTGATGGCACTCAGGGTGGGGTGGTGGCTGTTAGTTGTTGGGTTCCTGTGAACCAGGCTAAGCCAGGTGGCTGCCTGGGCTGATTCTAGACTTTCTTATTTGTCCCCAGATTGAGGATGAGACACAGGTGTCGCGGGCTACTCAGGG